GTCAAGTAAGTCAATCCTAAAGGAAATCAACCCTGAATATTCATTGGAGGGACTGATGCCCATGTTGAAGCTCCAATACTTTGGCCACCTGGTGGGAAGAGCTGACTCACTGGAAAAGACTGTGATGCTGGAAAAGATTGAGGGCAGCAGGTGGAGGTGACAGAGGCTGAAATGGTTGGATGCTGTCACTGACTCAACGGATAGAAGTTTGAACAAACTCCAGGAGATGGTGAAGGACAGGAAAGCCTGGCGTACTGCAGTCCATGGGGTCCCAAAGAGTTGGACATGACTGAATGACTGAGCAACAACATTGAGTCTTCAGTTCAGTCTCTCTGCGACCCCATGACTGCAGCGCACCAGGCTTCCCTGTCCATCCTCAACTCCCGGAGCTTGCTCAAACCATTCCTAACACAGAGTTCCTAAAACCTTTGGAATTTCCTCTGAGAAGAGAGTGATAAAAGGCCTCTTTTGTTATGTTAATGAAGTGACTTTTTTGTGGAGCCAACCACATGATTAGGGTTGGCACTTTCAGTCCCTCCCCTCTACCTCAAGGAGGGGAGAGAGGCTGGAGTTTGAGTTCAGTTACCAATGACCAATCATCTAATCAATAGTACACCATGCTGGAACCTCCATAAAACCCCAAAGGAAAAGGTTCTGAGGGCTTCTGGGTTGATGAACATGTGAAGATTCCAAGAGAGTGTCATGCTCAGAGAGCTTGGAATCTCCTTGTTCTCTTCCATTTGGCTGTTCCTGAGTTATATCCTTTTATAATAAACCAATAATCTAGTAAGTAAAATGATTCTTTGAGTTCTGCAAAACAGTCTAGTGAGGTGAGGGTCACTGGGACTCTGATCTGTGGGCCTGGGCCTGTGGGTCAGAAGCACAGGTGACAACCTGAACTTGGGAATCAGTGTCTGTAGTTCAGGGGCAGGGGTGGTGGAGAGGGTGCGGAGAGAGGCAATCAGTGACTGAGCCCTTAACCTGTGGGATCATCTGTGATCTGGCATTATCTCTAGGCTTCCCTGGTGGCTCAGACAGTAAAGAATCTGCCTGCTGGGTTTGATCCCTGAGTCAGGAAGATTCCCCTGGAGAAGGGAATGGTTACCCACTCTAGTATTTTTGTCTGGGAAATCCCATGGACAGAGCAGCCTGGTGAGCTACAGTCCATGGGGTCACATAGAATCGGACACAACTGAACTATTTTCACTTTCTCTCTTTCCAGGTTGATAGTATTGTTGCAGAAACCAGTAATTGAGAAACCAAGCACCGCACTTGGAGAGTTGGAGAATTCAGGTTTATTATGCCGATGAGCCCACAGGAGTTAACACTCTAAGCTCTGAGCCCCAAACAAAGGTGTTACAGAATTTTTATAGACCTACTATAGTGGGCAACACTAGCTGCTAATAGGCCGGTTTAAACTAAGGAGTTTCATGCACAGAAGTCAAGATGGGGAGGGGGATATCTGACCTTTACATGGACAGGCATGATTAAGCAGGTTGGCAGGGGCTGGACAATTGCAAAGAGCAGGACAAGGGTGAGTGAGATAAACTCCAGTTCCTAGTATTGTAAGTCCCCACTTTCTGAGACTTTGTGACCTACGCGATCCAGACTTTGCAAGGAGCAAGCTGAGTTACAGAGGCAGAATGAGTAGGAGGTTATGTAAAATTTTAACTTTTCCTCTTCAGTATCAGAATTGAGTTGAATTGTAGGACACCCAGCTGATGTTGAAGAATTGCTTGGTGATGTGGGAAAACCCAAGACATACACTGCAACTGGTGACTAGAATCTTACCTACTATATGTACGTTTGAGACTCTGGGAAGTCACTCAAAAGTAGGAAGTCACTCAGAAGTGCTTAACCTCAGTTTCTCCGTTTGGGCCTCTTTGAAGTCAATTTAAATTGGTGAGTCTGCAGGAATGGGTCTCTAGAGCCCTGTAGGAGTTGATGCCTCCTGAGATGATCGTCTGGGAGTGCCCATGATTATCATCACACATCACATTATTTTCTGCTTCTGTTTTTTTGTATAGTTTCCTCAGCATTAAAGGCTGTTTCTTTTAGAAACACACTCCTATCCTCATCTACACAAATTTTATCACCTGGCAAAATTCAAACTTTGAGGTATTATCTCTCAGAGGCTTACCATAATCCCCAAGGCTGGATCAGGAACCCCCTCTGCTGGACTCACATGGGCCCCCGTGTTCCTTTCTCCTCTAGCATTGCACAGAGATGGACTTATCATAGAACTAATAAAATTAAAGCCTCTTCTCCTCACACTTGCAAAGACCACATTCAAGTCCTTGGTTGTTGAGCACTGTAAATTTGAGGAGTACTTAAGACTTGTCACTGTACAACAACAATCAAAATATAATGGAATTTTACACCTCACATGTAAAAAAAAAACTATATAGAAGTTTTCCCAAATATAACAGTCTCAAATTTTGTATTACTAATAATGAACTGTGAAGTTGAAATTTTCCTAAACTACCAATAACACAATATTTTGATCAGTTAAATGGAATTTAATTAAATTGAATTCTTTTTATTCTCTCTTGAAAACGTTATTATAAAATAATTGTTCTTTGCTTACAGAAGGATATCAAAGTGCACCCAAAAAAGAAAAAAAGGAAACATTAGTAGAGAGATGAGTTAGGCAATTAATAAAAATATTTTATTTTTCCAGTTTTGAGGATGTTTTATGGCACTTTTCAGTTTTTTAAATTGGAATTTGTAAATTCTAAAATTTCTTTGATAAATCTAAATTGCTTTCACTTAAATTTGTACTATTTTTCTTAAAGACAGCTTTCAAAATTCTGTCAACCTCAGGCCTTTCAAAATCTGCATTCACCCTGAGCACTGATCATAGTCTATGGTCCTGACAATCTTGCACGCCAGACTGTAAGCTCCTTGAGCATCTGACCAAACCCTGTGACCCAGCAGCACTCAGCACAGGACCAGACACAGAAGCATTAGTACTGTTTGCTAACCTAGTCTAGCCCAAAGTTTGCATCCTTTGCTGTGAGAGGGGATCACCTATAACACTTTTCTAAAAACAATTTTATTGAGATATTATTTATATACTATAAACTTCACCCATTTAAAAAGTACAATTAAATGGTTTTTAGTATATTTTCAGAGTTGTGCAACTATATTTGTTTGCTAGGGCTGCCATAAGAAAATACTCCAGACTGGTGGTTTTAACAACAAAACTTTATTTTTCCAAAGTTCTAGAAGCTAGAGGTTCAAGATCAAGGTGTTGCTAGGTTTGGTTTCTTATGAGGCCATTTTCCTTGGCTTGCAGATGTGTGTTCACATGGTCATCTCTCTGTGCATGCATCTGGTGTCTCTCTCTGAATCTCCTCTTTTCTTTTTTTGGCCTCGCCACACTTCTTGCGGGATCTTAGTTCCCCAACTAGGGATCAAAACCCCCTGTGTCCCCTACACTGGAAGCTTGGAATCCTAACTGCTGGGCCATAATCTTCTCTTCTTTTAAGGTCACCAATCATATTGGACTAGGGTTCACTGTATGACCTCATTTTACCTTAATTATCTCTTTAAAGACTCTGCCTCCAGATACAGTCACATTCTCGGGGGTAGGGCTTGAACATACCAATGGAGGAGGGTGGGCGGGGAGGACAGAACTCAGGCCCTAACAGCAGCTGTCACCACATCTAATTTCAAAACATTTTCATTTCCACTAAAAGAAACCCTATACTCCTTAGGAGTCAGGCCCCATTTTCCCCCTTCCCCTATTCCCAGGCAACAATTAATCTATTTTCTGTCTCTATAGATTGGCTTATTCTGTACATTTCAGATCAATGATACCATACAATATATGCGCTTTTTTTGACTAGCTGGGAGTGATGTCACCTCTTTCATTCCTGATTTCAGTAATTTGAAATTTCTCTTTTTTTTACTTAGTCAGTCTAGCTAAAACTTTGTCAATTTTGTTGATCTTTCTTAAAGACACTACTTTTGGTTTTACTGATTTTCTCTATTGTTTTTCTACTTTCTGTTACATTTATTTCCTCTCCAATTTTATTATTTCCTTCCTTCTGCTTGCTTTGGGATTACTCTATTCATTTTCCAGTTTCTGAAGGTGGCAGATCAGGCTATTCATTTAAGATTTTTCTTCTTTTTTAATAGGGACGTTTATATCTATAAGATTCCACTTAAGCATTGCTTTAGCTGCACCTCATAAATTTTGGTGTGCTGTGCCTTATTTTTCAAATTATTTCAAGATGTCTTCTGTTTTCCCTTGTGATTTTTTTCTTTGACCCATTTGTTATTTAGAAGTGTGTTAAAATACACATATTTGTGATTTCCACAAACGTCTTTCTGTTATTGAACTCTAATTTCACCCCACTGTGGTTGAAGAACAATCTTTGTATGGTTTTAATCCTTTTAAACTTATTGAGGGCTGCTTTAGGACATAACATATGGTCTGTCCTGGAACACGTTCCACTTGCACATCAGAAAAATGTGTATTCTGCTGCTGTTGGGTGGAGTGTTCTGAATACATTATTAAATGCAGATTTGTAGGCATTGCTACCTGAGGTTGCTGTCCAAGGGCCTGAAATCTACATCCTTAATAAGTTCCCCACATCTTCTCTGCGCAGTACCCTTGTGTCCCGAATTCATGGACCTAGGCGTCCTCCACTCCTGGCTTCCTTAGATTTAATTACAGGTGAGTAACAGTGTTGGTTGGTGAAGGAAATGGCAACCCACTCCAGTATCCTTGGCCTGGAAAATCTCATGGACAGCGGAGCCTGGTGGGCTGCAGTCCATGGGGTCGTGAAGAGTCAGGCACGACCAAGCGACTAACACTAACTTAACTGTGTTGGTGTCATCGATTCCTCGACAGACTTTTCTATTGCTCTTGTCTTGCTATCAGGTCAGCGGAAAGGCGAATCTGCATCCTCATGCTCGGCTTCCGACTCCTTCTGTCTGGGCGGTACTGCGCAGGTATTGGCCCGCCTGGGGGTCACGTTGTCCGCGGCTGGATGATGGCGGACGCTGGTGAAGATTTGCGAGCGCTCTTCGGGGCTGCAGTCCGCGCGGCGCTGGAGGCCTGGCCTGCCTTGCAGGTGAGCGGAGCCGCGGCTGGGATAAAGATTAGGGACCGGGAGAGAAGAGGAGTTGGTTTAGCGAGCCGCCTGAGGCTTGGTTGGGCGACATAAAAAGGGGAATTCTGCGCCACTGCAGGCGGGCTGCCGGACTGACGTGATGGGCTTGGGTCTGTATTCACAGATCGCTGTGGAGAACGGCTTTGGAGGTGTGCACAGCCAAGAGAAGGCTGAGTGGCTCGGGGGTGCAGTGGAGGAGTATTTCTTCCGCAACGGTGAGTGAATGTAAGGCTCTGGGACTTGTCTCTGTGGGGGCGTGAGGAGGAGGAGGCCGCCGATTCTAGTGAGTCCGCACTTCTTTTTTTTTTTTTTCATTTATTTTTATTAGTTGGAGGCTAATTACTTCACAACATTTCTTGAGCAATTGTCGGTTGGTACCTGAGGGCGAGGTGGAATGAACGCAGGCTTTGAAGTCAGAATCCTGAGTTCGAATGCCTCATGGGCCGTGCCATTGACTCAAGGTATCATGCTGGACAAGGATTATCGCGCCGCCTCGGTACTCAGTTTCCTAATTTGTAAAATGGATGTAAAAGTATCTACCAGCGCGATCCTATAGAAACATGTTAGTCGCATCATGTTTTTCAGCCGCCACGTTAATAAAGTAAAAAGAAGCGGATGAAATGAACTGCCCACCTCAATAGATCCAAAATATTTCAACATGTAGTCAGTATAAAACGCTATTAATGAGATATTTTACATCCTTTTTTAGTATTAAATTTTCAAAATCTGGTGGGTATTTTGCAGCTTTAGCACATCTCATTGTTTTTTTGCCTAGCCACATTTTAAGTGCTCAGTAACCACATTTGACTATTTGGACAGCAGAGATCTACATCTTTGATGCACCTTGAGGGTCGTATAAGAACAAAGAGTCCTACAGGGAGTCTTTTACAAAATAAGGTTTTTTACAGATTTCTTCATTTAGTTTTTTAGTCTTGGAGGTGACATTAGGCGGAGTCCTTTCTCTCAAGAAAATTTACCATCTAGTGAGAGATCCAGATAAGTCAATAGGCATTTGCAGACAGGGTGATAGGTGTTCTAATAATGAGGAGCTCAGGATGCTTGGGTAATGTGAGCTGGAGGAAAAGGAGTCTTTCGGAGATCTTTAGGGAGTGGTGGTGATTGGGCTGAATCTTACAGGATGAGAAGGAGTTAACAAGGAGGGGAGGCAGAGAGCAACACTCAGAAATAAGTCCTGTGGTATGAGGAGATTATGCGTTATATTTGGAAAGTGGCAGGGAGCTCAGTGTTAAGAGTAGGGATGTGTGTGTGTGCTTGTGGGTATGTGGAAGGGAGGAGTGGTGGAGAATGAAGATGGGAGATGGGGAGGCCCCTGGAAAAAGAGTGAGACATGGAAGGCCTTATGTGCCTTTGATTTTTGTACTTTAGGCCAGCGTTTGCCAGAATGCATGCTTTGGAAGACTAGTTCTATCAAATGTTCAGTGAAGAAAAAACTTCTCCAGTCAAATTATATAAGGAAAGCTCTTCAGCTCTTACTTAAGAGTCACAGTAATCATTAACATAGTAAAGGCTTGGATAAGGACAAGAACCACTGAAAAGAAACCTGTTTACCTTTGTTTCTCTTTAGTTTTCTTTGAATAATTTCCCTTAAAATCCAGGAGGCCAGTTATTTTTCAAAAGCAGAATATGAAACACTGCAGTTAGGTGATTAAAAATTCATGAGCAGGATCTAATAGGATGGGGTTTTCTGGTTAGAAAGTTCAGAAAGTAGTCAGTGTGGAGCATGGACTTTAGAGGGAAAGACTAAGGAGAGGGCTGTTTCTGTCTAGAAAATGATAAGGCCAGAACTAGGACATTAGTCATGGGAAAGAAGGGATGGCTCTAAGGAAATTGTTTGACTGTAGATGGGGAGGGAAAATGGGGCACATTTCTAGTTTGAGTCACTGGGTGGCTTAGTTGCCTTTCATGGACTAGAAGGACACTGGAGAATGAAAATTAGGTTTGGAGGGTAAGATGATGAATCTGGCTTTGGATATGGAGGGTCTGAAGCACCTGTGGAACAGGCTCCAGCCTGGGTTGGAGACTGATTTGGGGGGCATTTGAATGGTAGGGAAAGTGAAGGGGGTGAATGAGTTCTCCCAGAGGGAAGAGAAAGCAAGGAGCTTTGTGGAAGACTTTCTTGAGTTATTTTCTAATTTAGAAAAAGTAGAGCATGGGCCCATAAGGTAACTGAAGCTGAGAGAGGAAGTCTCAGCTGAAGTCATACAATAGGACATTGAGGTCAAGGCTGTGATGATTTCATCATGGCAAGTACTGAACATCCATTTCTTCTTACCTATCCCATTGGTCTGTGGCCTCCTGTGTCGGTGGAACCACAGTTGTGAAGTCTTTACAATTCAAAAACTTCAGCCCTTGAGTAATGGAAATGAACATGGATTTCCATTATTCCAGACAAACAATGCCCTGTGCTAGGCATTGTTTGGGTGACTTCTCATAACAGACCTTCAAGGAGGTTACCATTAACCTCACTTTGCAGAAGAGAAAACAGGCTTGGAGATGAGTAACTCACATGCTCAAGGTCACGTGGAGAGGAGGCTGGTTAAAATAGGCCAGCTGAAAAGAAGGTGAGTGTGGATGGAATGCTGCAGGAATAGAGGACTTGGAAGAATGCAGGAAATTGGAAATTAGGTATTTAATGTTTGTTTCTTTTTCTTTTTAAAAATCATGTTAAAACCTGGAATGTAGAACACTTTAGCAAATAAAAGGCTCATTAAATCTTTACCCACCAATCAGATGTGGATCCACCAAGTATGTACTTAAGAGTAGTGGGCAAGGGTGATGAAGTTGGCTGGTCTTTGACCAGAGGACTTTATCCTTTCATACTCAGCTGACTTGGAGCTAGATGAGGTGGAGGACTTCCTCGGGGAGCTAATGATGAACGAGTTTGATACAGTTGTGGAGGATGGGAGTCTGCCCCAGGTGAGCATGTCATGGATACAACTACCATCTTCCTGCCTGCAGCCTTTGTTCTCCTGTCTGTTTTAGATGAACATTTTTGGTTGTAACCATTCTTTTCTTGAGTCCTGTGCAAGAACTTGCTATGACCCCCTGTTGCCTAAAGGAAAGTCTAGTCTTCCCAGGCCTTTCAAATCCTACCTGTATTATTTCTCTCCATGTATCATTCTCAGTCAGGTCTGTTTGTCACCTTCATCTCAGGGGCACAACCAGGCAGGTACATTTCCAAATGTTCTGGTTAACATCACTACTCCTGCTAGGATTGCCTTCCCTTTTTACGTCTTCTGTCTTTCAAACCCAGTTCTAGTGCCTTCCGTGCTAGGAGGGCCTCCTTCAACACTTCAGGCCCTTAATGAGCCCTTCATACGTGGTTGCTTCATTAGTGAACTCCTTGGGGGAGGAAAGATCACCATTCTCTTCTGGAAAATTCCAGACCCCTCCCCACTCTTGCTGCAAACACGAGTTGGTTGTATTGTAGGTTCTCTAGAAAATCGAAGTTGGTTGAATGTTTTCTTGGTAGGTGAGCCAGCAGCTGCAGACCATGTTCCACCACTTCCAGAGGGGTGATAGGGCTGCTCTGAAGGAGATGGCCACTCTCATCACCCAAAGAAAGTGCAAGGTCAGAGCCACTGCACTGACGACAGCCGGAGAGACTGATGAGGACAATGATGCAAACAGCATGGAGCAGATGGAGGTGAAAGGGGTGCAACTCTTGGGTGTGGAGATGTAGATATTTTCAGTCTTCTGGGAGATCAGCTAATTTCACTGGGAAGTTATGGGGGTGGTGGTGGTTGTATTATTCATAAAGGGTAGGAAATTTTCCCAAGGTCACACAGCCAGTCCTGGCAAAGCTAGGAGAGCTGGGTCTCCATTGGCCATAGCTGGGGGTTTATTTAGCTCTCTCTTGTATTTCTCCTCTAGGTTGCAGCTACGAATGATGGGGCAGCTACAGATGGGGTCTGCCCCCAGCCTGAACCCTCTGGTCCAGACTCCCAGACTATTAAGGAAGAGGATATAGTGGAGGATGGCTGGACCATTGTCCGGAGAAAGAAATGAACGGGGTTGGAAATGCTCTGGGTTCTTGTATGCTAGTTGTTTGGGATTTGTTTGTAGGGTTTTTGTTGGAGGGTTGCAGACCTGTGGACTGGTTATCCCATATCCACCCTCTCCCCATTCCCTTGTCCAGCTTCTTCCAGGGGAAGAAGAGCCCAAGTGTTCTTGGACTTGGGGTGGTCTGAATGATGAGGCCTGATTTCCCAGCAAAGAGCCTCTTGGGTGCAATCAGTGTGAAGAGGGAGGGATGAGTTGGCGTGGGAATGACTGGAGGAGAAGCTAAACGCTGGTTGATAGTAGGCAGGTGAATGTGTGAAGGGAGAGAGCCAGCAGGAGAACCAATATTTCTGCTGGGTAAGGAGTGGTGAGATGAGCTTGCAAATAGAAGAGAGATTAGTTGAAGATATGAATGCAAGTAGCTGTGGTACCTCTCCCTCCCCCGCCCCCACATAGAGCAACTCTGTGCTCCCGAACCTCCCAGGGATGTTTCCTTCCTGCAGCCCAGGGTCCAGCCCTAGGTTCCTTCAGGATGTCTAAGACCTTGTCTAGGCAGTGAGCTCAGGGGACCTGAGCTTTGTTTTCTGTCTCCTCCAACCTCTTTCCAAACACCTCATCCCATCGAAGTCACCTCAATAAATAATACCTTATTGTTTAATTTGTGGCTTGACCTGTGAGTAGTCTTGGAAGCATCCTTCTGGGAGCTGAGCTTCAGAGCTCAACAAGGGAGCAGTTTCTGGGCCTATCCTAACAACCTGGTACTTTGGACAAACAGATGCACAAATGGAGCACAGCCACGCTCTGAAAGTTTCCGTAAGCTTGAAATAAACTGTATTTTTCTTTAAAAAACAAAACAGAGTATTCTTTGTCCTCCCCCGTGTTCCCCTGTCCTGCCCAGTGGCCCTGCCATGGGTCTAGACGATAAAATACTGGGTAGCCCTGGGGGCCAGGTAGAAGCTGTAAGCCATGGGAGAGGCAGGAGGGGTCTGGTCACCACCCCACATAGCATCATACATGTGAAGACACTGGTTGAAAGGGCAGGGGTGGGCCAGAGCCATGGGGTCTGTGGCAGAGCTGGCACTTGAATCCAGATCTCCTGCCTCTGGTGCTTTGGAGGGAATTGGGTGGAGGCAGGATCTGTAGGGTATTGAGGGGTAGGGGGAAAATGGCCTAATTCAGGCAGGTCTAGCAACAGCCCCCACCCTCCCTGGGGGGACAGGGTTTAAAAAAAATTAACCACACTGTACGAATATTTTTTAAAAGCCCAGGTTTTGTGAAAAGATGAATTAAAAAAACCCGAGACCCAGCATTCAGGATTGAAAGTGCCCATGATGGGAGTTCAAGTATTGACTGAGCTGGGAGGGTGGGGGCTGGGGCCCTTAATTGGACATGGGCAGCTAGAGTGTGGGGCAGAGGGTCCCAGTTACCCACAAACCCTCTAGGTCTTATCTCGGGTCTGAGGGGCTTCGGAGGGTTCAGCAGTGGCTGCTGAAGCTGCCACTGGCACCTCCTCCATCTCCCTGTCCTCAGACAGTGTGGGCCCTGGGCAGAACGTGTCCCCACGGCCTGCCCGGCCAAGCACAGCCATCCAGCGCCGCTGTAGCTCCTCTGTCTCAGGACTGAAGTACCAGCTCAGGTGGCTCTGGGTGATCTTGAAGACATGCCTTCTGTCGGGCCGCTCCCCAGCCTCAGGAGGCCCCACCTCAAAGCCAATGAGGGGCAGGCTGCGCTGCGCTTTCACATCCTGGAGAATAGGGACAGAGCTAGGGTCACCTTGGGGTTGGGCTTCTCACTGGTTTTGCATCTTCTAAACCCCTTTTTTTCTTTCCCTGCTCAAGAACCTTATGTGGTTTAACTGAGCAACAGGAAAGTGTCTGAACTGGGGATAGAACTGCAGGCTGGTTCAGATACCTCTTTTCCTTCCACACCCCAAGCCAGCTAAGCTAGTCTTGAGCATATAATGTTTTCAGGCCTTTGGGCTGTCGCCCTCCTCTCCATCTTGCCCACTCCAAATTGGATTAAGCAGTATCTCATCTCCACTTCAGCTTCCTTCCCCTATAACTCACCCCACTTAGCCTTATGTACGTTGATCCATAATCACTCCTTGTCTCGAGCCAGTCTTTGTCTCAGAAGGGTGGGGGCTTCTGATTTCCCCTTAGGTTCACACTATCCTCCAAGGCCAAGGAGAGGTGAAGGACTGAGAGGAAAGGAGAGTAGCCTGGCTTTGCCAGGTGGCTGAAAGGACCAGGAGTAGGATGCATACCTGAGGAGCTCCGTAGATGTACAGCACCAAGGGTTCATTCTCAGGGACCACAAACCATGCCTTGTGCCAGCCTTTTCCGCCCTTCTCCATGTAGTGTAGGAAGCTGCAGATGACACTGTTCTCTGCAGCCACTGAGGCCTGTTTCTGTGACCAGAGACATGAGGGGCATCAATATTGATAGGAGGCCTACCTTGGCTCCAGCACCCCCTCAGCATAGGGATTGCTATTCACATGTCTCAGGAGGATCCTGAAGCTCAGGTGGCAGGAGTGATTTGCCCACTGTCAACCCAGTGAGGGAGAAGGCAATGGCACACACTCCAGTACTCTCGCCTGGAAAATCCCATGGATGGAGGAGCCTGGTAGGCTGCAGTCCATGGGGTGGCTAAGAGTTGGACATGACTGAGCGACCTCAGTTTCACTTTTCCTTTCATGCATTGGAGAAGGAAATGGCAACCCACTCTAGTGTTCTTGCCTGGAGAATCCCTGGGACGGGGGACCCTGGTGGGCTGCTGTCTGTGGGGTCGCACAGAGTCAGACATGACTGAAGCGACTTAGCAGCAGCAGCAACCCAGTGAGATTTGAAATTCAAAGCCAGGCTTATCTGCTGGATTCGGGCCATGGCTACTGCCTCTAAGTCTTGGTGGGAGGGGTGTGTAACTCTCAGTGGGGGCCCCTAAATGTCAGTCAGGCATTCTTCCATCAGTCCATTTATTCCTCAAGTCATTTATGCATTTACACTTCATCTTTTTTTCAATCTTCCATCACATGCATTCCCTACACTCAGCGAGAAGCAACTTAGCATTGTGGTTAAGGGGGTGGGTGTGTAAGGCAGTCAGGCTCAGAATCCCAGGCCTAGATGGAAATACTGATATACTGACTTGGAAGGAGAGCATATAGGGCTGTTCTGAGGATTAAATTAGTTACTATATGTAAAGTGCTTAGAAGAATGCCTGGCATGAAGTTAGCTTTCTTTAAGTGTTAAATAAATACCTCAATTTAGTTACAAAGCATAAGTTTATGTCTGTGCATGTATCTAGAAAGATAGGAAGCATAAGCATTAATGGTGGTAATCTCTGGGTTAAAGGAATTTGTAGTAGTAGCATAGTCACTAAGTGATGTCCGACTCTTTCGCAACCCCATGGACTGTAGCCCACCATGCTCCTCTGTCCATGGGATTTCCCAGGTGAAAATACTGGAGTGGTTTGTCATTTCCTTCTCCAGGGGATCTTCCCAACTCAGGGATTGAACCCGTGTCTCCTGCACTGGCAGGTGGATTCTTTACCACTGAGTTACCAGGGAAGCCCTGGGTTAAAGGACTATGGTGTTTTTATTATTTTTGGTTATGATGTCTAACTTTCTTCAATGCACATATCCATTGTAATAAGAAAAGGTATTTTGTTAGCTAAAAGAAAATCCCAGCTCTGCCACTCACTGTGTAACCTGGGCCTCAGTTTCCTCCTTTGTAAAACAAGAATAGGAAAAGCATTGATAGATAAGTTACTGTGGAGATTAAACATCTAAAGCACTTAAATAAAAATTAATCTTTGACTCACTTTTGTACTCATTTTACTCACGCGAAGCCTGGATCACTTGTTCAGTGCATGCACATGGTATTACAATTTCAGAAATGCCCAGGCCTTAGTCACCACTGCGTGAGTGGCTGGGGCCCCTGTGGTCAGTTGAGGGGCCTGGCTCTTACCTCCAGGATGGACCTCCGGCGCTGGGGTGTATGCTGGCTGCAGGCTGGGCTGCTCCCGGGTACCCCATGCAAAGCCACGTAGCAGTCAGTGCACACACGGTTGGAACGGTTGTTGTCATAGACAAGGCGAGCCCGGAACTCGGAGCACTTCCCACAAACCACCTGGGGTGGCAAGTGGGTAAGAACAGCCTGATTCCAGTGGGTCTTCCTCTTCAGTGTACCAACTCCCACAGTGGACTTCACAGCCTCCCCCTACTTAGAGGGTGCCCTCTTAGAAGTGGGCCTTTGGGTTACCAGCCTGTCTGCTCCATAGCTCTGCCCCTTCCTCTCAACACTTACATGTCCGCAGGCCTTGCAGTGGTGCCTGCGTTTGGTGATGGAATTGAAGGGCTCCTGGCAGCGCATGCACATGGTGACTTCCTTTTCTCGGATGGGCGTAGGTGCCCGCTTTCCAAGATCCACATTCTGGAGAGAGAGCCAGGTCTTCAGTCAGAGAGTCAAACTCAGACTCCCCAGCCCAGTCCATCCAGCCCTCGCCCAGGCTTGGATCATCACTGGTAGGCAACAGACAGATTCAGAAGACCTGCCTTTGAGTCCTGGCTCTGCTCTACTTCACTGTGCTATTGAAGACCTGTCACTTGTACCAATACTTTCCAGGCATTGGTTTCCCCAATAATTTCTCTATGACCCTACCAACAGAAGCGTGTGCTTCTGCAGTCATCTACTGCCTCTCTGGGAAGAAGAGAGGAGTATCTCAAGGTAAGGTGGGCACCTGGAGGCCTGGAGGGGATCCTGGTGCAGAAGGAGGGGATGTGGACTCTTACCGGAGAGTTGGGGGGTGTGTCTTCATCTTCCCTGTTTGTGGAGTTTAATAGCTTGAAGGTCTCCAGCGTCTGTTCATGCTTCAGGAGGGTAGAGTTGATGGCCTGGGAGAGGTGTAAGAAATAAGAGGTCAAAACACAACTATCTATTTCCACCCTTACCTCACTTTCCTATAAACTAGCTTGGAGTCAGAAAAGTTGGATTCTAGACCCAGCTCTATACCTTGCTAAACGTATGACCTTGGGTAAGTCCCTTCCCAAAATCCAGGTCTCAGTTCTTATATTTGTGAAATGGGGGAAGGGGATCAGTGGCTGAAAAACCACAGAAGGCCTTCCTGGCAAATGTCTGGGATTAAATGTTTTACAGGGCTTAACTCACTGAGGTTACACCTTCAGAGGAGCCAGCTTTCTAAAGAACTGGGTAGTTTCTGCTTATCCTCTGGACCTCAGTTTGCTTATCTGTAAAATGGGGATGGTAAAATTTATTGGAAGGCAGATGTCCAGGCCCATTATGGTCAGATGTGAATATTAGGGGAGAGCCCACCACCCCCAGAAGACCTGTTAATACTCTTCCAGCCCCCTACCACAAAGCCTTCTTAGATGTTACCTGGACCCAGTCTTTCTTCTCTTCCTCAGTCCTTGGGTAGGGAAGGTGGTGGGGGCAGGGGGAAAGAAAGATGTTGGGTTAGGCAGGCCAACCAAAAGCAATTGGAGTGGTAAAGAGCAGATGTTTTGGAGTTGGAAAGATCTGAGTTTGACCTTGCTCCTTCACTTACCACTTATGTGACCTTAGGCAAGTCATATAACCTGAGTTTACTTATTCAACAGTTATTAATACTTTCCAGACCCTGTGCTAGGAGCCTGGGCCTCAGAGCAGACCCTACAATCAAGGAAGGAGCTCATGGGGGCAGACATGGACAATACAGGGGAATCAGTGCTGTGACAGAGGGAAAATGGGGCTGAGGAGCCCAGGAAACCTATCCCATCCTGGAGTTTGGGTGGGGGCTGCTAAAGATGGTTTCCTCAAGGAGGTGCTAGCCCTCAAGTAGAGGGGGTCAGGGTGAAGTATGTGAATTAGCATACAGAATGTACAGGAAGCCATGAATAGTTCCCTGTTTCTGCTAGAATGTCAAGTTTGAGAAAGGAGGGCAGTTTATTTTTTTTCACTTGTAAGAATGGATGATAATTACCAGCTTGGGTTGTTCTGAGCAGTAACTGGAAAGTGAAAGTTGCTCAGTTGTGTCCGACTCTTTGTGACCCCATGGACTATACAGTCCATGGAATTCTCCAGGCCAGAATACTGGGGAATTTCCCTTCTCCAGGGGATCTTCCCGATCCAGGAATCGAACTGGGGTCTCCTGCATTGCAGGCAGATTCTTTACCAACTGAGCTATCAAAGCAGTAACTGAGGTGATGTGTAAACTGCCCAGCACAATCCTTGATACACTAGGTGCTCAATCAGTGTGTTGCCCCTTCCCTTTGCCTTCCTTCCCTAACTCTCCTGTCTGCCCTGGTGCAGGCCCATCAACAGCTCACTAGGAGTAGGGGCCAGCCTCTTGGCTGACTCCTGCCTGGCCTCCTCTAATCTTCCACATTTACACTCCAGTGAAAGCCACTCAATCATGTCTGACTCTTTGCAACCCCATGGACTATACAGTCCATGGAATTCTCCAGGCCAGAATACTAGAATGGGTAGCCTTTCCCTTCTCTAGGGGATCTTCCCAACCCAGGGATCGAACCCAGGTCTCCCACATTGCAGGCGGATTCTTTACCTGCTGAACCACAAAGGAAGCCCATCTACACTCCAGACATCAAAAGTATTTTTCTAATATGAAAATATGACTGTATCCTTAGGATCATTTCATGAAAAATCAAGGATGTGAGTCAATATTTAGCTACAAGAATATCCACTGCAATGCTATTTATTGTCATGAAAAATTAGAAGCAATCTACGTGTCCAACAACAGGGGCTCAGGTTTTAAAAAAAGAAATGATGCTGTATATCATTACTTACACACAAGATAAGTGATAAAGCTTTTTATAATATGTTAACTCAAAACAACATATATAAAATAAACATAGCATTCCCTTTTTGTTTAAAAACACATGTGCCATGAGTGTTTCCATTTGTCAGAACTCATCGGTGGTACACTTAAGACTAGTGCATTTCACTCTGAAAATTTTGCCTCAAGAAAAAGGAGGAGACCTTAAACAAATATTGAATGCTAGTTAATGATATGCATGCCAAAGTCTTTAGGGGTGAGGTGTATGATATCTGCAACTTACTTGGTGAAATGCATTAAAAAAATAAGATGGATTGGTAGGTGGATGAAATGATCGATTTGTGATAAAGGAAATATAGCACAATATTAACACTTGAATCTACATGGTGAGCTTGGGTGTTCACTGTATTTAAACTTCCCTGTATTTTGGAAAATACTCATAATAAAATATGGAAAGGAAACATTGTGTGTTTCTGTGTGTGTATACATATGCAAATAGAGGAGAAGCCAGAAAGAGTTTCTGCCAACACATCAGCACTGACTGTCTCTGGGTGGTACAGTTCTAGGGGATTTTACTTTATTCTGATTGTATTCTTTTTTACAAATTATTTTTTATTTATGTATATGTTCTAACTTCTTTGCACTAAATATTGCTTTTGATGTTTAAGAGCCACAATAGTGTTTTTGGCAGTGCATACTTAAGTATATAGGGGTGAAGAGTTATGTCTGTAATTTACTTTAAAATGGTTCAGTAAAATATTTATATGGCAAAAATATATACTGATTCCTAACTCAGTGCTTCTAAACCCTGGTGCCAGGTTGAATCATACCAGCAATATCACCTTCTTTGTTTCTGCTGGCAGAGGAAAGTGAAAGTGAAAGTCGCCCAGTGGTGTCCAACTCTTTGTGATCCCATGGACTGCAGTCCATGAAGTCTCCAGGCCCTGATGCACATAATATTAAAATCACTTGGGGGAGCTATTGAAACTCCCCATCTTCAGGCTATACCCCAGATAAATTAAACCAAAGTCTCCAGGGTTGGGTCCCAGACATCAGTATTTTTTAAAGCTCCTCAGTTGATTCCCATGTCACCAAAGTTGAGAATCAGCTAGGTGGTGGGCATATGAGTATTTGTTGTATTTCTACTTTTCTGGTTACTTGAAATTTTTCATTAAAAACAACTTAAAGGGCAAAAAAGCAACCGCAAAGCAAGCTCTGCATCCCTTCCCTCTGCTACTAGGAGAAAATCCTCCACTGCTCGACGCACCTTCCGGGCCCAGCACCCCTCAGCAGCCCCCTCCTTCCCGTCCTTGCGGGTGACCTGTCCCAGTCATGTGGCTTGTCATTTAGGCTCTGTTGAGCCCTGACTGAGCCCCACGTCTGCCCTCCCCTGGCTGTGCCTGTTGTCACTTTTGTTCTCACTTTCCTGGCTTCAGGCCTCTGAGATGCTTAGTCTCTCAGAGCATCAAACCCAACTGCCTTCTCTCATCTTCCAGGACACCCTCTAGCCCACATTCATCTCTCTCCTGCCTCCATGTAGTCCCAGCAATGAGAGTTCTGACTCTGATTTCTTAATTCTTTGCAGCCTCTCAGAAGTAGATCATCTACCCACATGCATTCACTCTCTGGCCCTGACCATGGCCTTGATACCCTATCACCAATTCCAGCTCTGCTTCTTTCTAGCTGCGGGATCTTGAGAAAGGTGTATAACTCTTCTGTGCCTCAGTTTCCTCATCTGTAAAATGGGGTTGATAGTAACAGAGGCTACTTCAAGGGTTTTGAGAGTTCAACTAGTAAATTTAAACTTAAGTTAAAATTAACTTAAAACTGTGCCTGGCACAAGAGCAAGTCTTCATTAAATGTGAACTATTATTATAATCATTCAAGTAGGGAATGGATATGAAGGTCCCTTTGTTAAATAGCTGGACATTATTTTAAAAGTTGTTCTTTAAAGATTTTTTTATTATGAAAAATTTCAGGCATACAGAAAAGTAGATAGGATAACACAAGTACATTAAATATATATTCACTACATAGATGCAAATTTAAAAAAATATTTTGCTATATCTTATACATATGTGTGTATGTGTGTGTGTGTATATATATATATATATATAGGCTGATATAAATCATTTAAAAATAAGTTACAGATATCATGATACTAAATTTTCAGCATGCATCACCAAAAAAAAGGCCATTCCCCTATATCCTCGTATACCATTATCACACCTGAGAAAGTTAGCAATAATGCCCTGGTAGCTAATGCCCAGTTCATGTTTAGGATTTTCTCTACTGTCTTGAAAATGTCTCTTAGGGCTGTTTTTCTCAAACAAGACTCCTATCATGGACCAGGCATTGCATTTGGTTGTTATTTCTCTTAAATCTCTGAATCCACAATAAACTATTTGTGCTACTGTTACTCATGTTTGGATTACTATCTCATTCTTCCCTCTCCTCTAACAAAACCCATCAGAAGAGCAAGCATCTTTGAGGAAAGGGACCCATCCTTTCTCTGGAATAATCTCTCCTCTAGGGAGGTAGCCAGTCCCCTGGCACTAGGTCTAGAATGCCTCAGCATATCTGAAGGCAACAGGAGGCTGGAGAGAAGATATAGGCAAGGACAAGTACCTGGCCTGGAGCTCCAGGGAGCGCTGCTTTCCTGACACCAGGAAGGTCCGAGGCAGATTGAGGTTGGAACTTTCCTTCAGCTGAATGGAGAAAGAAAAGGGTTTGGTGAACTACTGAGCTCACCTACTGAGCACCACAGAGCCCTCGCCCTCTGCACACATGCACACACTTGGGGTCAGAGTCAGAACATCTTTGTTCCTCCCAGCACCAAGGTCCCACTCCAGGTCCCCCTTTCCCACCTCTTGGTGCTTACCTCCATGCCATCTACATCAATGCGTGCCCGCACGCTAAACTTCTGGCCAAGGAGCCGCAGCCTGGGCACACAGTAAAGGAGGCGGTCGTTGAACTAGGAAGGAAAAGGTTTTGGATGTATGTGTGGAGGCCCCACAAGGGCTATGGCTCAGCTCCCTTCCCTTATAGGACTCCTGAAACTTTACTGCTGGTGACTCAAGGCAATAGATGGAGAAAACACAGACCAGATTGGGCACAAAGGTTGCAAGGAAAGAGCCTAGGCATGGGAGTCACTTCCTAGTTGGGTGGCTTTGGGCAAGTCAGTTCTCTCTAAGTTTTAGTTACATAATCTGTAAAGTTGAGAAAAAAATGCCCAGTATAGGTAGTAAAAATACAATGCATTAGTAGAGGAAGGAATGGAGAGCAGAAAGTACAGCCTTGAGTGAGTACCGGGTCAATGTGGCAGGGCGGGGTGGGGGTGGTGTGGCCCACTTGCACCCCTACCCCTGGCACTTACTAGTATGAGGTATCGGTCTTGAGTGGTCCCATTCTTTGCTGACAGCTTAAGGATATGGCCTTCTTTTATGAGCTCTTTGGTGGGGCTGACAATGTCTTCCTCACCTCCTAGCAACTCGTATACCTTAAGCAGCTTGTGCATTCGCTCCTGGTAGTGAGTAAAAGGCAAGGTTTGAGGTTCCAGCCTCCCCTCAGATGTCCACAAGTTGCAAGCCTCCCATCCCCCAGGATGGAGATAGGTGGCTGGCCAAGGAAAGGCAGGGGCTAGAAGGGCCACTCACCATTTTGCGGATGGCAGCATTAGAGTGCTCTGCTGCTGTGGCTATCAGTTCCAGAGACTCTGCAGACAGAGTGGGAGGTCAGATAGGGGCGAGCAGAAAAAAGGCTTTGGGAACTTCTCTGCTCCCTGAATACCTCCTCCTGGCCTGACCACACCCTCCCCATTCCAGAAAGTACCAGCCTCAAAGATGTCCACAGCAACATCACTTAAAATCAGAAAATGACTCGATCAATGCCACAGTAGTAGCAGAACCACAGGACATGAAATAGCTGGCAGCCAATAAAACACAAGCTTAAGGTTATTATTTCTACAAACAAAATAATAATAATAGTTACACCTGTAACTGGAAGGACATATACCCATGTTTAACAAGTTGTATCAGGAGCTTCCCTGGTGGCTCAGTGGTAAAGAATCTGCAGGGTTTTATGGGTTTGATCCCTGTTCCGAGAAGATCCCATGTCACAGGATAACTAGGCCCGTGTGCCATAGCTATTGAGCTTGTGCTCTAGAGCGGTTAGCTGCAACTACTAAAGCCCACGCACCTAGAGCCCATGCTCTGCAACAAGAAAAACCACTGTAACTAGAAGCCTGAGCACTGAAGCTAGAGAGTAGCTCCTGTTCACCACTAGAGAAAGCCTGCCTGCAGCAAGGAAGACCCAGTGTAGCCAAAAATAAATAAATACTTTTTTAAAAAAGTCTCTGCAGCAAGAGAGACACAGATGTATAGAAGAAGAAGAAGGAGAAGGCGAGGGTGGGATGATTTGAGAGAATAACATTGAAACATGTAGATTATCATAAGTGAAATAGATTGCCAGCTCAGGTTCGATGCATGAGACAGGCTGCTCAGGGCTGGTGCACTGGGATGACCCAGAGGGATGGGATGGGGAGGGAGGTGAGAGGGGGGTTCAGGATGGGGAACACATGTACACCCATGGCTGATTCATGTCAATGTATGGCACAAACCACTACAATATTGTAAAGTAATTAGCCTCCAATTAAATAAATTTTTTAAAAAGTTGTCTCTGGATGATGGGACTCTGGGTGATTTCACTGTCTTTTTTTTCCAAATTTTTGATAAAGAATACGTATTAACTTTTATAATCAGAAAACAAGTCATATAAAGAAAGAGAGACAGTTCTTTGTCTCAATAATTCTGACGATAGGAATCTATACTAAGAAAATATGTGTTCTATGTACAAATATACTTTTGTTGCAGTGGTGTTTACAATAATGTCAAACCAGAAACAATACAACTGTAGGGGTTCAGTTAAACAGAGTAATGTGCATTCATATAACACAATACTAAACAACCTTTGCAAATGATGCTTTTGTAGGATTTTTCATGATCTGTGAAATGCTCAGGATATTTTAGGAAAAGGAAAGGATACAAACTTGTGTATACCACATGATCTCAATGCCACAAATATATGTGTATTAAAAATACCAGTAAGAAATTATGTCAAAATGTTCCTCACTCTTATTCTCTGGAGTTTTGCATTATAGATGATTTTCTTCCTTGCCTCTTTCAGCTTTCCTCTATTTCCATACTTCCTATTGTGACTAGGTATCAGAAAAAAATACGAAATAAATCCCTACGCATCTCCACACACTAATGAATCTTGTCCATGCTTGAGGCCCAGCTGCACTGTACCCAATTCTTGTTTGCATGGTGCTGGATTTTCCCATTCAGAAAACATGCACAGGTGCTTCTGAAGAGAGTCCACATGGTTGGCCAAGCAAGTGTTATTTTCCCAGGAGGCTGTCTCTCAATGACCAAGTCTTGGTGCTCAAGATCTGTGGTCCCTAACCCAGTTCAGGCCTTTCAGGTGCCAGTCTCCAAGCTCCCAGCCCTTTTCCACCCTAGCTGTCAGAGGGCGCGTTTTTACACACAGGTTGCTGTCACTCCTCTGTTCAAATCTGTCAGTGGTTCTCCTATGCCTGCAGGGTAAAGACCCAGTCCTTTAGCCTGGCATTCTAAGCCCTTGGTCAACAGAGGCGTCTGTTGACCTCTCCAGCCTTCTCCACTTGCACCTCCCTAAACGTGTCCTGTCTTGCTTCATCTAGCCAACTCAGTCTTCTGGATTCAGCTCAGCTCCTCCAAAAAGCCTTCCCTGAGTACCCAGGCTGGGTTAGGACACTGTCTGGGTTTCCACCTTCCCCTTTGCTCCCTTCTGTCCCGCCAGTCACATTATGTATTCATCGTGTATTTACCTATTTGCATCCCTCAGCAGACTAGGAGCTCCCTAGGATGGGGAAAAGGTTCTACCACATTTTCCTGGGCTCCTGAATAGATACTTTGCCTAACATTCTTCAACCCTCATAACAACCTTATGTGCCTTGTTTGTCCAATGAGGAAACTGAGAATCAGAGAGAAGAGGTGCAACCCTAGGCTGTGTGCCCCAGGAGGCAGCAGAGCTGACATTAGAGCTGCCCTTTCTTCCACACATTCTGCATGGGGTATGCTGGGTCGTGGAGGTGGGCAGTGCCAAGGAAAGGGGGCAGGAAGAAGACTCTGGCAAGCTGTGGTCATATAAGCTCGGGCCTGTAGAGGCCACTGGGCTCAGACTACTTTGCTATCAGGAACTCTGTCTGGAGATGTCCTGTGTGGGGGTATAGATGGGCTTTTCCAGGGGTCCAGTGGGTATAGGCTCTGTCTGGTGATTCAGTGTGGGGATTTCAGTCCAGGATTTCTTTTGGGGGTTCAGGCTAGGGAGTGTGGTTTGGGGAGCTTTGTCTAGGAGCTTGGTAGTTTTGTCTGGAAGCTCTGATGGGGCCTGGTCTGGGCTGGGCAGTCGAGGATCTTGGTTAGAGTTCAGTCTTGGGCTCAGGGGGGCTGCTCAGGCCAGGTTTGGGGCTGGCCTGGTTTGGGGAACTCAGTCTAGGGTCCAGGCTCCAGAGTTCAGTCTGGGAAATATAAAGTAGGAGAGTCACTGTGGAACCAGAGATATGATTCAGTGGGGCTCAGATCTGGAGGTACTTTCTGGGGCTCTACCTGGGGATTTTAGTTTGAGGGGTAAAAAAAAAATAGGGAGGTCAACTTAAGATCTTGGGCTGGGGAGCCTAGTGAGCACATCTCAGGCTGGCTGTCCTTCAGTGATTCTCATTCTTAGCAGCTCAGAAAACTGGACTGGGAAGTTCTTTCTGAGGGGCTCATCTTTGGGCTCAGTGTGGGGAGTTCAGCTAAACTCAAGCTCTAAAGTTTATTCTAGGGACTCATATAGGGCTGAGATTGGTATAAAACAGGAAACTAAGTTAGGTAAACTCAATCTGAAGGCTGATTTTAGGAACTCTGTACCTGCTATTGCTTCTGCCAGGGACATGCTCCTCCCTACTCAGCACATGGCTCTCCTCTTCTTGTTCATATTTGATTCAAATATCCTCTTTTGAGAGGTCACCCAGTCTAAAGTTGGTTCCCCCAGTCACTGTCACATCACCCTCTCATTATCTGAATCACACATAGCACCTATCTAATGTTCTCCTGTGTATTTATGACTTTTGTCTACTGTTTATCTCCCCGACTAGAACACACACTCCCTGAGATCAAGGACCTTGTCTGTCTTGTTCACCTTCCATATCCCCTGTGCCTAGGACAATGCACAGAGCACCAAGGTACTCAGTAAATAGATGAAGAAATGATCTATTATGTTAATGAAGGAATAAATGAAAATAACAGTCTGGGGAGAGAAAGCTGGGGAGACTCTGGGGAGCACTCTTGGGGTGTAACCTTGAGAAGTGGGTCCCATATTGAAAGAATCAGAATGAAACCCTTGCTAGTGGTTCTGTGTGTACTTGTCTAGGGAGGTGGTATTTTAGCTTAGAGATTCAAATCTGGGAGGCAGAAAATACAGAGTCCAGTCTGGGGTACTCAGTTATGGGGAGGTGATTTTAGGGGGTTCTGATCAGACTTGGAGGTTCTTTTGGGAGGGTCATTCTGGGTAGTGACTGGTGGGTATGGAATGAAGCTCTAAATGTGGAGAATGGAAAGTCAGGGACTTGATGAGACAAGTCTCTTTCTGGGGAGCTCAGCAGTGAAGATTCAGTAAAGAAAACTTGGCCTGAGAGGGTCAGTCTGGGCTCTTAGCCTGTTGGCTCAGTCCCTGAGGGCTTAAGCTCAGTTTCATTTTGGATTGGGGACAACTTTATTTGAGAACCAGTCAAGGGGTCAGCTTTGGGGTCTTAACCTAGGGAAGAGATCCCTTTAGGGGATCTTTCTGAGTATACCCATCAAATTCTGGAGTTCCAGTTGGAAACTTCAGGCTGGAGGACTCGTGAATGTCCTGTCTAGGTGCTCAGGCAGAGACCTCAACCTGGAGGTTCATCCTGGGGTCTCATTCCAGACACTCAAGGTGGGCCTTTCAGTTTGGAGGTCCTACTCTGAGATCTCAATTACATGGCAATGGAAGGCTGACCCTGTTAGTTGTCTGTGGTGAGGCGGGGGGGTGGGGAGGAGGGCCCGGTTGTATGCACTCACTTTGGGCGTCCTTGCTGTCCGGGGAGCCATGGGGCAGCTTTAACAGATAGTCTTTGAGAAGCAGCTCATAACGGGGGATGCGCTGCACGGGCTCCAGCATGTGGTGCTGCAATGTCAGGTTGCCACAGGCTTCCTCCTTCTGTGACAGGCAGAAGTAGGAGGGTTCAGGTCTGGCCAAAAACCCCTGACCAGGTCCCCACAGACCTGTCCACCTCAGCCGGCCCCATCCAGCTTCACTGCTTACCTGCACCTCATGGATGATCACTTTAAACTGGGTGGAGCGCTCTGTCCAGGTGTTGACCAGCTCCACAGCTCGGTCAAAGTTCTTCACATACTCGCCATACATTTTGAGGAAGGGTGCCAGCTTCTGCAGGATGTCTCCGATGCGTGGGTAGCGGTCCCTGGGGTGGAAACAGGGGCTGACCTGGTCCTGCTGATCCTTGTTCCACACAGTGCCCCCACTCTACAGGCCATTCTTATCCCAGTCCTGGAAATCTACTTCTCAGCCAGTTTGTTCCTTTGGAAATGCTGCTTATATTATAGAATAAGTAGGCTGAAAGGCTCAGTGTGACCTAAGACCACAGCCTGGGCCCACCCACCCCAACTCTGCCCTGCCCTGAGCATAAGGGATGACACATCCTGGGACACCTGGAAGGGCCACTTCATATACTGCCTATTGATTCTGTGCCCAGCCTTGTACTGGGTTATTCTGGTGACACAAATAAGCCACACTTAGCTGATCCCTGAGAGGGTCATGGTCTGGTAGGGGAGTCAAAGTAACCAGACCTGGTTGCACTCCTCAAGAGTCACAGTCTATTGGAGGACACATAGGACCAAATCTTCATTAGTCACAGTCTGCTGGGGGAGACAACAAGAAGTGGCCTTGGTTCAGCCCTCAGTGGTCATAGCAGTTGGGGAGATGTAGGAAGTGACTTCATGCCAGTGACTTCATGTAGCATGAAGACGTACTTTATCCTGTGGGTGTGGGGAGCATGGAGATGATTTAATCAGGAAGTAACATGGTCTGGTCTGATTGTTGTTCAGAAAGACCATCAGGGAAAGTGATATAGACACTAAAGGATGAATTGGAAGAGGAGAGCCTGGAAGCCAGGAGACTGCCTATGAACCTTGCCTTTCTACCCCAGGACTCAGCTCAGATCTCACCTCTTCCCTGAATCCTTTGTTAATCCCTAGGCTAGTTTTGGTCCCTTTGATTCCCACAGCCTCCCATTCTCAGCTCTATCATTGTACTGATGTGAAAGTATTAGCTGCTCAGTCGTGTCCAAATGTTTGTGACCCCATGAACTATAGCCCACCAGTCCTCTGTCCATGGAATTGTTCAGGCAAGAATACTGGAGTGGGTAGCCATTCCCTTCTCCAGGGGATCTTCCTGACACAGGGATCAAACCCAGGTATCCTGAATTGCAGGCAGATTCTTTACCGTCTGAGCCACCAGGGAATAACAACGACAACAATCATAGCACTGATTAAAAAATGGCTCACATTCACTTCAGTTCAGTTCAGTCGCTCAGTCGTGTCCGACTCTTTGCGACCCCATGGACCACAGCATGCCAGGCCTCCCTGTCCATCACCAATTCCCGGAGTTCACCCAAACTCATGTCCATTGAGTTGGTGATGCCATCCAACCATCTCATCCTCTGTCGTCCCCTTCTCCTCCTGCCTTCAATCTTTCCCAGCATCAGGGTCTTTTCAAATGAGTCAGTTCTTCACATCAGGTGGCCAAAGTATTGGAGTTTCAGCTTCAACATCAGTCTTTCCAATGAACACCCAGGACTGATCTCCTTTAGGATGGACTGGTTGGATCTCCTTGCAGTCCAAGGGACTCTCAAGAGTCTTCTCCAACACCACAGTTCAAAACTTAGCACTTAACTATATACTGGGTACTATTTTAAGCTCTCTACATGTATCAACTCATTCATTCCTTAAAATAACCCTACAAGGTAGGCTATTATTATTACCCTCATTTCACAGCTGAGGAAATGAAAGCACAGTAAATTAAGAAACTTGCTTAACATCACAAATTTAGCAAGTGGCAGAATTGGAATTTGACCCCAACCAATTTGGCTCCTAACCTTAAGTATCTGGAATGAGACCCCAGGATGAACCTCCAGGTTGAGGTCTCTGCCTGAGCACCTAGACAGGACATTCACGAGTCCCCCAGCCTGAAGTTTCCAACTGGAACTCCAGAATTTGATGGGTGTACTTTGCTATTCTGTTGTAATTTTCTGAGTCCTGATCTGTGTTTCATTCTAGATTGGGAGGGCCTGGAAAGCAGAGTTCAGGCCTGATTCTTTTTGTGAAAGGCGATGAGGGGAGAGGGAAGGTAGGAATAAACTCTAGTGCACACATCGGGCCTGGGCTCAGCAGGCAAGTGGATAGGAAGGTGGGCAGCCTAGATTTGGGGCCCCTCACCATTCCTCCATGCGCTTCTCTAGCTCAGGCAGCAGGAACTGCTGGTGGAAGCAATAGATGGAGCAGATGTTAGAGAAGATGCCGTGGACGACGTCAGCTGGGAAGGAACTGCGGTTCCGAGCTTCTTCTAGCAGCCGAGCGCAGAACACCTGTGGGGCAGGGTATGTGTGCTCAGCCCAGTGGGGCCTGGGGCTTGGTTGGGAAAGGAGCAGCTTGCAGGTGAGGGCAGTGTTTGTAGGCAGCTCTATGGAGCTTTGGGGTCAGCACTGATCTTGAGACTGAGGAGTGAGGGAATGGAGTGAGGCTTGTGTGTGGGGTTGATTTCAGGTTGTCAAGGTTAGGATCTGGAGGTAGACATTGGAACAATAAGTCAGGATCAAGGTCAAGGTCAAAATTAGACTCAGGGTCAGAGAGAAGGTTGGAATTAGATCCATTCATGTGACAAATAAAAATATTTTTGAGTGCCTACTGTGTGCCAGGCAGTGAACAGACAAAAATTCCTACCCCTTGGGATTCTAGTGGATTTGGGGGTCGGGAATAGGGCAAGGTTTAGAATGAGGGTCAGAGTCTGGTTCACAGTCAGGTTAATTCAGGATCTGGATTAGAGTTGTAGTTAGGGCTTAGGAATGAGGGTTGATACAAAGATCAAGCTTGGGGTCATGAATCAGAGTTGGCTTCAGGGGGACAGGATGGGGGTCAAGGTCAAAGAGGAGCCTTACCACCTCTAGATTCTGGCCCCACTGATAGGGGTAGGCTCAGGCCCTCTCACTTCCTCTTTGGCACCCACCTACCGGATCCTGGTGCCCTGGTGCCCCTGCAGGACCATTCACCTGATCCAGGAGATGGAGCCTGGAAACGTAAGCCTTCTCAGTTTGCAGGAGTTCATTGGCAATGTGGAACACCTTCTGCTGCACAGTCAACTGAAGAGAGAAGAGGCAACTGCTGGTCTATCATCCTGTACCCTAACCTTCACCCAAACCCCTAGAATTCTCAGAATACCATAAATGCTACTCTACACTTAATGCCACTTAAAGATAACCGTACCTCCCATCTCTGAAGCCATAAGCCTCACAGCTTCACCCCAACTCCCCTGTGTGTCATAAAGACCACCCCTCAATTCTGATATTGTGTATCTCTCATTCAGCCACTCATTCACCTGGCCATCTGCTCCCTCTATTCACTCTGCATAGTGTAGTGGGTAATGTGTGGGCTAGAAAGTCAGACTTCCTAGCTAGGTTCAAATTGTAGCTCTGCCATTTACTAGCTTGAATAAGTTGTATAAATGTTCTGTATTTAAGTCTCTTCATCTTCATATACAGATAATAATAGGACCTAAGTCCATTTGTAATTGAGTCAACTAAATGATTTAATGTAAGTGAAACATAGCAGACTATGGATTAAGTAGACTATAAATCTTAGTTATTTATTCACCCACTCAGTTCATTGTCAATAAAGGCTTGCTGAGTACCTGAGGCGTGAGGAAAACCCAAAAGAATAAAAATGTATAAAACTCATTGCCTGTTGGCCTTGCCTGTTTACTGGACACATATTTGCTGAGTCCCAGACCTTGGCCCCTACATCTGAGCTGGGTTCTAGTGACACAGGTATTCTGTCTATGACCTAATTAAGTGCAAGGATGCCTTGGAAGCAGTGTTAGGCTGCTGGGGCACAGAAAGGGGTTCCTGCTGCTGAGAGCTTTTGTCTCACAGCCTCAGGCTCCTAGGGGGCTCTAAGTTCTTGTGCCCTTCCAGAGGCCGGCTGTCTGGAAGTCTCTCTGGATGTGAGACTTTCCATTTTACAAATAAGGAAACTAAGGTTATGGTGGGGCAGCAGAGACTTGCCCAACCTCACATAGCTATTGAATCTGGGGATTGTCCAGCTGGAGCAGGACTCTAAAGATCCCAAACCAGAATGCCCATCTTTAAGATGGAAAAACTGAGGCCCAGCTGGTGGTTCTCAGATGAGGGTACAGCAATTTTCCTCATGGGCACTTGGAACTGTGAATGGTCATTTTTGTAGTTAGAGTGATACAGGGACACGGTACAGGTCTGCTACTGATATTTAGTACCAGGAGACCAGGGAAGCCAAACATTCCAAGTGGAAACAATGTCCTGTCTTGAGAAATACTGAGCTGGGGAAAGAACCAAGTGTAAAAGCCAGGCTTCTGGTTTCTCCACACAGTCCTGCCTCTTGGTGAAGGTGGGTCAGTACCTCCACGGACTCCTGTCTCTCCATCAGGGGCGCTGGGACTTCTCTGTCCTTCTCATCCTCCTCCTCGTCGTCCTCCTCCTCCAGGTCACTATCAACCTCCTGGGAGCTGGGCCGGTGGGGGTCGGCCAAGGCAACAGGGACACTGGCCAGGGCAGGGGGCCCAGGGCAGAGGCTGTGGCTAGGGGGCCCGTCATCACTGATGAAGCAGGTCTCCTCGCTGTTGGATGGTGAGCTGATGCTGTCAATGCCGCTGTCCCGATTGGGTACCTTCTCGCCATCCCGGGGCCCGGGAGCCAGCAGGAACAGGCAGCGGGATGCCTCGCCCTCAGGGAGCTGGGGCACTGGTGGCTGTGGGGGTGGCTGTGGCAACATGGCTGGCTCTGTGGGACTTGGGCTGGGGCCAGGGGCTGGCCTATCCGAGGCAACAATCACAGGCTCTCTGAGGTGGGTGGTAGACACACATGGAGGCAGGGCATGAGCTTGACTGAGAGGCCTGTCTTACAACTGTCCTTTCTATTCCAGGCCCACCCTCCCCCCATAGGGTCCCCCGGGAGCTGGACTCACCTTTCAAATTTCTCAATCAGTGAGGATACTGCTGCAGAACTGGGGCTGGCCTCTGCCCTGGAGGCCAGGCCCTTGGCTACTCGGGGGTCTGCAGGCAGTGGGCGTGATGGTGGGGGTGGGATGGGCTCAGGTGGTGGGGGCATCCGGGGCATCTGCAGGTAGCTGGGCTTCGGGGGGACTAGAGAGATGGATGGGATAAAGAGGGGAGATCCCAATGGGCTGAGTTTGAAGTTGGTTGTTGCAGCCAGGCCACAAGCCCCTCCACAAACCCCTGGTCTGCACCTTTGCCTGAGACAGGCACAGAACTGGCCTGAGGTGAGATGCCAATATGTGCTCATTAGCCTCAGGTCACAGCCCTCTGCTCCTAGACCGCGGTGCTTCCTGTCCTTCTAGCAAGTCTTCTCCTCAGCCACTGGCAAACCTTTCCCCTCCTCTGTCCCCTCTCCTGGGCCATTTCTTTGTCCCCTCTCTGGAACCACTTACCCTGTGGTTTTGGGCCCGGTGCCCGCTTCAGTGGCGAAGGACGCTGGCTGGGGGTTTCAGTGGGGGGGCCTGGGTCTGAGCGAAGTCGCTGGGGACCTTCTGGATGAGGCTCAAGGCCCTGGCCAGGGTCAAGGGACAAACTTTTAACCAGGATCCGGTTTCCCTGGTGCATCCCTGCAGAAAGGGAGAAACTGGGTGTTAAGCAACTGATTATCCCAAAGGAGACTGGAAAGTTGTATGTCTTAGCAGGTACCTGTGGTATCGAGTTCCTATGAACCCCTCTCCTGGCTACACTGTCTTTTCTGGGAAACCTTTACTCCAGCAGTCAGATGGGGAGCCAGGCCCAGAGTTATGGCTAGCTGTTTTCATTAATAGACAAGAGTTCTTTGTGGTTAGTACATTGATTTCTTGTATGTCAGCAGGCATCATTACTAGGGAGTTTAACCAGGCTGGGGGCAGGCACGAGAAGCCTACTGTTTGTGTACATGCTTGCACCGTTGTTTATATAGCCACAGTGAGATGCTGAGCCTAAACCATTCTTCACATTTTCTCTTTAGTTCCTGAGGATATCTGGACTTCCTTTTCTACAATTTTATATAGCTGAAAATAATGAAATTATATTTCATGAATAAAAGTTTTGCTTCTTAAAATCCCAGCTTCTCACTAATCTGTACTGCTCTGCTGCTGCTGCTGCTGCTGCTTCTGTGTTGCTTCAGTCGTGTCTGACTCTGCGACCCCATGGACTGCAGCCTACCGAACTCCTCTGTCCATGGGATTTTCCAGGCAAGAGTACTGGAGTGGGGTGCCATTGCCTTCTCCACTAATCTGTACTATCCTCCTTGATTTCCACACCTACACACACCCACACACAGCCAGCACGCAGAGTTCAGGTTACAGGAACAGCCTTAGGACACCAGGCAAAAAAATTCAGGAAAGTGAGGCCTTTCTGCATTGTCCCTCTTCCTTCACCGTGGGGTCCCTAAACCCACCTCTGTCTTTGGTCCTGGGGGAGATGATGGTCACCCTGGGGTGAGAAGATTCGGTCTGGCAGGTGTGAGGAGACCTCTGCACCCAGGGATGACACATTCTAAGGGAAACAATGTGGTCTGCCTGGGCAGGGATCTGTGTGTGGCAGGTCTCAGATGATAGAGAAGTCAGGGAAAAAGCAGAGCAGAGTAGAGAGGGCAAGCTCCGGATGGCAGTTTGAGGAGCTGGATGACCAGCCTGTGGGCAGAAGAGAGCCATGAAAGACCATCGTATAGGGAAGGATGCAGCAAATAGGTGTCAAGACAAGAGAGGGAGTGGCAGCCAAGAGCCCCCAGAACTCCCATCCACACATGGTGCCAATTTTGCCATGCCACAGTCACATGACCTCTCACAGCCACCGAGAATCTGTTACCCTGTGTCACAGTTTCATACGTGACCAGCCACAAATGGGTTCACTCAGTCACAGAGACACAGGTGTTATTCACACTGTTTCACTTAACTTTGGGGACACAAAATTCAAACATCCAATCGTGCCATCACGCTTCTGAAAGCCAGGTCACACACAGTCACAAAGACTCACAGTCACAGCTTCACATATTATCACACAGCCTCACAGTATTACATGTACTGGCAAACATGGCCATGCACAGTCACAAAGACACAAGTCACACAGTGGTAAATCTACAATTTCACACATAGCTTCATATAACAATCACCTAACCACTTACCATCATATACCCACTTATATACTCCTCAAATATGGTTCCACTGAGTCACAAAGATATACAGTGCCATTTACACTGTATCTTACAATCTCAGGGCCACAATGTCATACACACCAGGATATGGTGTTACAGGTTCACACCTGCAAATGGTTCATACAGTCACAAGACTATAGCCATTGGGAGTTATTATACCATGTCATATACAACCTTGCACAATGACTAAACAATACAAAGTCACCTGCCACCATGTACCCAAAATCACAGACACACAATCACACATGTGATTATACATGTAAGTTACACATAGTAACTTACTATGTCATACTCATGAAACAAACATGTCCGTGGAGTCCCTGGGTCTTAGGGGCTCAGGTACACACATGACACTTGCCTCCTGGTCTACATAGTCATGGTGTCACATGCAGCCTCTGTTGCAAAAACATACAGCTACAACACAGAAATACTCTACTGGGTCACAGGCAAAAAGAGCAGCAGGAAATTTCAGGTCTCCTAGTCCTGGAGGGAGGGAGTAGCTCAACCCACAGGGTTCCAACAGTTTCCCAGGGTCTCTGACTCCATCAGGCCACAGTTCAGTCACAAAGGCCCCGGGGTCTCAGGCCATGGTCCCCTCCCAGCCCTGAAGGAACAAGGTGCCCTAGGCCCTGGGCTGAGCCCCCCTCCCCCACTCAGTACCTGGCTTTGGGTGCAGTTTCCTCACTTCCTTTCCCACAGCAGGCAGGGCCCTGGCTGGGAGGGAGGAGGTGCTCCTCTCAGCTCAGCTGGGCTGCTTACCCTGCCCTGCTCAGCATATCCTGGCCTGGTCCTGCCCTGCCCTCCCCCTGGGCGTGGGGTTGATGAGGATGAATCACCTTGAGGGCGGCACATGCAGAGACATAACTTTGAGAGACCACAAGGCCGGAGAAAGTGAGAGGCAGAGAGAGAGCAGCTGACAGGGCCAGAGATCCACACAGCAAAGCCAGACACCCCACCATGCAGACCCCTCTCAGGGTAACACACACACGGGTGCCAGGGTCCCAGCAGGTACCTTTTGTCTGCCTCCTTGGGCCTGGAGGCACGCACCTGGCCCTGTCTCCATACCTCAAAGCAGGCAGGCCTCCCTGGGTAAGCCCTCCCTACCCAGTCCATCCAGGGCGGTCGAGCCCCTCTCTACTTAGGACCCCTCTCTCTTCACTGTTTGTCCTAGGGATAGGGTAACCTTGCCACCCTCTGTGGCCCTGCTCTGGCTCACTCTCTGCTCCCTCCCCACCCACTTCACCTGGGAGCCCACAGGTGGGCTTGCCTCTCCTTTCTCTCTGCCTCCTTGCAGGCAGCCCTGCAGAATGGGACTGAAATATTCAGGGACACCCTGGATTCCTAGGTGAGAGGGGCAGATTCTAGCGAAGAGATGAAGGCAGTGAGAGGGGCAGTGACTTGCCCAAGGTCACATAGCAAGTCAGTGACAGACTTGCAGCAGACTGATCTGAGACCGGACTTCTTAACTCTGCTCTCCAAGAGGAAGCTGGGAAAGAGGGGAACCTACAGGGGCAGAAGTGTGCCCCAGTGCTTCAGAAAGTCAGGAGCTGGTGAGAACAACACCCCCAAGCCTGCCCACAGATTATGACAACAGGGCTTCAATTCAGGAGTCTGAGCCTGGCCAAGAACCAGGCAGGGCTCCACTGAGGGAAGAAGATAAAAGATCCTCTCTTTCCTATTGCAGTGTTCCCTCCATGCTCCTTTGCCTACATTTTCCTGTCTCCTCCTATGTTTCCCCTTAGTGTCCCCCATAGCTCCATGTGTCGCTCCCTCTAAGTGGCTAATGGACCTCCAGCTCAAGTCATACCACTTATTTGCACAAGAATCTGCAATGAACTCCCCATTGCCCATGGGGAAAATAGAAGCTTCCCAGCTAGTTCTCTATGGCCCCTCATGACCATGCTGAACTCTCTGGCTTCCCCTGGCTTAGCTTAGTCCCCCAAATACTTCTGAGCCCTGCTCTGAGCCCAGTAGACTAGGTGCTGGAGAAGGTGAAAATCCTATGTCTGCCTTCAGGGAGCTCCCAGGGGAGGTCTTCCCCTGCCCTAGATACCAGAGCTCTTCCCACTGCCCCATCGCATCCCCACCCTCTTAAGTCCTGCATTGATTTTCTCCAGTCCATTTTTAAATTAAATTAATTTTTTTGGCCAAACTGCTTGACATATGGGATCTTAGTTCCCTGACCAGGGTTTAGACCTGCACCCCTTTATTGAGAGAGTAGCACTGAAACATATGCATTACCATATGTAAAATAGATAACCAGTGGGAATTTGCTGTATGATGCAGCAAACTCAACCCGGTGCTCTGTGACAACCAAGGGTGTAGGGTGGGAGGTGGGAGGGAGGTTTAAGAGGAAAGGGACATATATATACCTGTTCATGTTGATGTGTGGCAGAAACCAACACAATATTGTAAAGCAATTATCCTCCAATTAAAATTAAATAAATTAAAAAAAACAAACACTTGAGCCCCTTGCAGTGGAAGTAGAGTCTTAACCACTGGACTGTCAGGGAAATCCTCCAGTCCATTTTTTATGGTTGATAATCCATAATATTCTCTCTCACACTTGCACCCACACCCACATACCTGACAAGGTCTTCCACCAGCACTGTCCCTTGACCACTGGGTTTACCAGAGCCCCCAATACCCATAAGAACAGAGGCCACAAAGGGCACTCCCCCCATAGAAAGTCACTTGGCCAAAGGCTTCCACTGCAGGGGGCACAGGTTTGGTCCCTGGTCTGAGTAGGGGAGCAGTGAGGAAAACTGCAAAGACCCAGTGAGAACCACAGAGCTGCTCACAGGTCCACATGCAATGTGTGCAGCACAGGGTGTGCACACATACCTACACTCAGACATCTCTTGCTGCTAACAGGAAACACGCCTTGGGCACCCCAGGATGCCTAGGTGCAGCCCCTGCTCTGCTGTGGGATGGGGCAAACCCTCCAACAGGCCCTCAGCAGGCTGAAGGGCAATCTTGATCCTGACCCTCAGGGAGCTCCCAATCTCAAAGACAAGAGACTCTCATTCAGGAAAAGCTAAGTGCGGCTCAGGAAGTGCAAGGGGGTCAGCCTGTCGGGACTGGGGAAGCTCAAGGGAGGGAGAGGCCAGGGACAGGATGGCCAGATAAAATACAGGATGCTTAGTTACGTCTGACTTTCAGATAAGCAATGAATAATTTCTTAGTATAAGCATGTGTCATGCATACTTAAACTAAAAATGTATTTGTTGCTGTTGTTTATTGTTTTAGTCGCTAAGTCATGTCTAACTTTTTAGCGACCACCATGGACTGTAGCCCACCAGGGTCCTCTGTCCATGGGATTTTCCAGGCAAGAATACTGGAGTGGGTTCTCATTTCCTTCTCCAGGGGATCTTCCCAATTCAGGGATAGAACTTGCGTCTCCTGCATTGGCAGGTGAGTTCTTTACCA